TCGCTCTCTCCGGCATCTGTCTGCCCTCGCCCAACGCCTCTTAGCCGGGGGGCCGCTAAGTTGCCATACGATGGATATTTTTCCCAAACCAAAATACTTAGCCGTCAAAAGGCAATCGACCGAAACGGATACATAACCCACGGAGTACGGACACAATAGCAGCCAAACGCCCACCGATCGAAAATACCCCTTATTCGCGTTGCGGAGCAAGCGGGTCACCCTAGCGGGCCCCATTTACCCGAGGGCCCGGGCCCTATCCACACGGGGGCCCGGACCACGTCCACCCGAGGCTCCGGGGCCCGTCCACCCGGGGCTCCGGGGTCCGTTCACCAGGGGGCCCGAGCCCGATCCACCCGGGGTCCGGGCCCCGTCCACCCAGGGCTCGGGGTCCGTTCTGCCGGGGCCCGGGCCCCATCCACCCGGGGGCTCGGGCGTGGGCCCGTTCTCCTGGGGGCCCGGGCCCGTTCTCCCGGGGGCCCGGGCCCCATCCACCGGGGGTCCCGAGCCCCATCCACCTGGGGGCCCGGACCCGTTCTCCCGGGGGTCCGGGCCCCGTCCACCCGGGGCTCGGGGCCCGTTCTCCCGGGGACCCGGACCCATCCACCGGGGGCCCGGACACCATCCATCGGGGGCCCGGGTTCCATCCACCCAGGGGGCCCGGGCCCGTTCTCCCGGGGGCCCGTGGTGTCCCAGTAGGTATTTCTCGAAGCGGGCTCGTCCGATTAGATTAGGACATCCCCCTCTCTTTCTCTTTCTTTCTTTCTCTCTCTCTCTCTCTCTCTCTCTCTCTCTCTCTCTCTCTCTCTCTCTCTCTCTCTCTCTCTCTCTCTCTCTCTCTCTCTCTCTCTCTCTCTCTCTCTCTCTCTCTCTCTCTCTCGAGCGGGCCCCTGACAGAAATTTCGGGGGGTCAGTTGACCCTCTGACCCCCCCTGGCTGCGCCACTGCAATCAACCCCTTAGGATGGAGTTCAAATGTTATTAAACCCCATTGAGAGCCGAGAGGTGCCTTCTTCAATCGTGTCTCAAATTTTCATGAGCACTATCCTTACTTATTTCGTAGCAGTATGTTTTCGGGACACGAATAGGTACCGAATGTATGTACTTAAGTGTCAATATTGGTTGATGATTGCGCGACCAGTAATGCGCCAAAAATCCAAAGTTAATGTTCGTAGATTATAAATTTCAAAGACAAAGGTCACCAGCCATCTGTAATCAATTATTTGTTTATTACGCATTAAGCTGCGGACCAATGACATTTACCCGCGAGTTGCTGGGGGGGGGGGGGCGTTAAACGCCCCCACTTTTTTCGCCGGGCCATAGCATAAAAACGGTGCGCCGCAGGCGCGCCAAATTTTGCGTACCTGTAGGGAATTGATTGAAGTTTATTGTGACAAAGTTTCAAAAAAATCGGTCGGAAAATTTTTGAGATCAGGGTTTTAGTGACGTCATGATTTCTGAGTTTTCGACCAAAAACGGCATATGTTCCAAAAATCATATAAAATCACACAATAGACATACAGACATGCCGTAAACGCCATTAGACTGCCAATACCATGAACAATCAAATGGCTATCTTCGATTATTGATTATCGTTTCGCATTTTCCAAAATCTTGAACTGAATCTTGTCAATTTCTCGTGACTACTTCACGACCTTGATACATGAGTTTCTTAAATTGAACTTTTTGAGCCAAACACGTACACATATGATAAAATGAAGGCCTGTACACATTCAGCTGCTGTGCTGTTGTCAGCCGAGAATCACTCACCCTATTGGCTGAAAAATTGATGACGTCATGTTGCACACGCAACATGACGTCACCTCTCTGCTGACGGCAGCATGGGCTGACGGGCTGTGCTGCCAGGAGAAAGCAAGTGCAGAGATGCTGAGCCGTCAGCAGACGCTGTAAATACTTATGCGGCGCAGCAGACGCTGACAGAAGCGCATGTAAGCTCATCACGTGCAAAAATTATAAACGACGACTGTTATTGGGGACGTTGGGGACGTTCCAGGCTGCCGTATTGACCAGGCCCATGTCGTCCCCTATCTCTCTGCGTGTCCACTAACACGAATGACGTCACGCATGTGGGCGGAGCTATGGGCGGAGCCTAACGCACGCGGCAGTCCAAGCCGCCATATTTGAATTTATATTTTAATAGAATCTTGCCGATATTTTGGGTGAAGTCAATTTATATGGATAGCTTGGTGACAGTTTAGCTATACGAATAATAATTTATTATGGATGTGCGTATATTCAGCTTGGAATTGTAATTAAAGTTCCGCACCGCATAGATTCGAACTCGGGACCTTTGGAATACTGCGCGGGCACGCTAACCACTACACTACCGCGACCGCGCGGCGGCCGGCGGCAGGGAGGCTGTGGAGACATGGGGGGACATTTTACGCTTTTGTGAAAAAAGCAAAAGATTTAGCGAAAAACACGTAACAGATAACTTGCAGAAAATTGTCTGCTCTTTCAGATAAGATACTTAGGTTTGATATATCTTGTGCAGACTTCATTCTACAGTGCTTCGAAAATCGCTCATTTACATGGGGATTGAACGGGGCTTCGAGACTTGACTCCAAATGACGTCACGAGCTGACGTCACGAAAAGGTAGAATCGCCGGACGACCCTACCTGGTATATAGGGCCTTGGTATTGACGTCGGAGTTTTATCGCCTTGTGGACGTTTTTCGTTGTGCGGGAATGAAAGGGAAGTTGAATATTTGTTAAGGTTTTTTTTAAACATATTCAGCGCGTGCTTTTAGGATACATTTGACAATAGGGATTACTGAGGATACATATCCACCTTTGTAGGTATAAGCACAGCATGCGGAACCGAATTTGACGAAATTGAAGACGTTGCTAGTCATGTCGCAAAATTGTGAAGGGCAAGTCATGCCATATCAGTGTATCAGCTGTGGCAGGCTATTCAGTGAGGTTAGCGATTTAGATGACCATGAGCCGCTATGTCCGGATCAAAAGACTAATTCTGCTTGGTCAGATAAGACAATCAGGGAGCTCATTGAGACAATGGAATGCCAGGAAGCTAGAAGGCCCCTGAAGACTCTCCTTCCGAAAGACAAGAAGGCTTTCTGGGAGCAGGCCGGCAGAAAATTCGGGCTTCCGCCTGAGACTGTCAGAGTGAAGTGGAATTCTCTGGTGACGTCGTATAAGCGAATTAAAGACAACAGCGGAAAAAACAAGTCGGGTAGAGGAGCCTTAGGAAGATGGCCTTATTATGAAGCCATGGAAGCTATTCTAGGGAAAAAGTCCAGCATCAACCCGACCTTCGTGATCCAGTCAGGTGTTAAGCAGACACCTGTGTCAAGTGGAAACAACTCTGACGTGATTCCAAGCTCACTATCTACTGCAGCTGAAGATGTCTGTATGAAAGCTTCTAGTTCAAGTCTCAATGAAGTTTCACGACAAAAAACAGCGGAAATGCTCGACAAAAAAGGACTTCTGACGCAGCATTTGAAACTTATCTTGAGAAAAAGATCGCATTAGAACAAAGGAAACTTAACATGGAAGAGAAGCGACTGGCCCTAGAGGAAACGCGTCTGGCGTTGCTGGCGCAGCTTGTGCATAAGAACTGCTCGTGCCAAACGGCGGAAGTAGTATTTGAAGAATAACACTGAGACTGAGTGTAAGATAGTGGTACCCGGCTGGTATAATGACACACCGGGTCAGCGTACGACTACGTAGAGGCCGGCTGGTTTGGAGCCTTGCAATGTTGTTTTGAGTAAGGAGTGAGTTTGCTTTCTTGCTTATTGTTTGTGTGATGCAGCATAAGAGCTTTGCGTTATGTTGCCTGGAGGCACTAGCAATATCACCACTGCGCTGTTCTCGTGACATGAGGGATAAAATAGCAATGTGTTATTCGTTGCATAGTCTGTCCTCTCGCCCGTATAGGGGGGGGGGGGGGGCGAACGGCCCCCTCGGTTTTTCGCGAATAACTCGCGAAAAAGGCGGCCGATCGCGAAGAAACTCTCAGTACCCTCAAGTTAATCATTTTTACACCGAACCGGAAAATTTCATGACCCTGACCTAAATGAACTTTAACTCGCGCCCTGATGGGGGGGGCATTTTGGCCCCCCTGTGGTTTTTCTTAAATAGCGAGAAAACGGCGGCGCAAATTTTGGGTACCTTACCGGGCATCAATTTGACACCTTCACACAAAATTTCAAGTCACAGGTCACCTCAGGTCAGGAGTTATTGAGGTCAAACTGAGGTCATGTTCGAGTAAAAATGAGCAAAAAACATGACATCTTGAAACGCTCACAAATTCTACAGTTACCAAGCAATTTTAAAGTTCTTTATGTGGTTGTGTAGAAAAAAGACGGCGCTACAAAACTGCTATCTCGAATTTTCGAAATTTTTTATTAAATTAATTTGTCCCCATTGACTTATAATGGTGAGGTCACAAAATGTCTGGAAAACATTTTGAAAACAAAAAAATGTCTGGAACCGCGCAAATAAAATGTGCTGACATGCGTGGAATCACCATTCTGGCCTGGCATGGTATCCATAAAGAGGTTACAGGCCAAAGGTCATTTTATTCAGGGTCACGTTGACTTCCACCCCGTCGCCGCCGGGCCGGGACATCATGGCCGCCCTGTACCTACACGAACGCCGAATAGACGAACACCATGGTGTACACCCAATTGGTCTGCAGGCGGCGCTGGTGCTGCCGCTGGCCGCGCCGGCACGCGTGCTCCACCGCCGGCAGGCCGGACAGCAGCTCGCACGTGCGGGACTCGGTGCCGAGCAGCTGGGCGGCCGGCAGCACGAGCCGCCGCCTCGGACCGGGCAGGCCGGCCGGCGGACGGCGCAGGCGGGCCGCCACCAGCGTCGGGGGGCCGTCGTGGACGGCAGCGGGGGCGGGGGCGGGGGCGGCGGGAGTGCTCACGACAGGAGCGGCAGCCGGCGCCGGGGCGGCAGCAAGGGCTGCCGCTAGTGCCGCTAGTGCAGCGGCCGGCGTATCCGGAGCCTCCGGCGCTACTTCGCCGTTCGGCAGTGGAGCGGATCGTGCTGCATGGTCGATCATGTTCGCATCAGCCACAGTTGTTCCACCAGCTCTGCCCTCCTCCCCGCTGCAGCTGCATACTCCCCTTGTTGCAGTTCTCCCTGCTCCTGTCCCTCAGGGATGGCTGGTGCCGCCAGACCGTTGTCCTCCTCCCATTGGTCACCCAATTGCATGCTTAGGTTATGCAGCACACAACAAGCTACGACAATTTTCGTCGCTTTTTCAACAGACTTGATTTCCACGTAAGTCAGCCTTCGGAACCTTGCCTTGAGTAGACCAAACCCGTGTTCCACTTTGACTCTTGTGCTTGACAGGACTTTATTGAAGTGTTTCTTTTTTCGGTTGTTGACTGGGTCTGGGTTTAAGTAGTTTTGATTTTCACGGAACGGCGTCATCAGCCAAGGTTGCAGCTGGAAGGCAGCATCGGCGATGAGGAATTTTCCTCTGTCAAGAAAGTTTTCTTCCATCAGTCTTTTCCCCAGACTGCTGTTCCGGAAGATCCTCGAGTCGTGAACCGAGCCTGGCCATCCTACGCAGATGTCTCGGAATAGTCTTTTGGCATCGCACACAGCCAATAGGTTTATTGAATAGAAGCCCTTCCTGTTGACGAACGCTTCTGAGTCTTCAGTGTTGACCGGTTTGTTCATTGGAATATGGCATCCATCAAGGGCACCAACTGCACATGGCAGTCCATGCAGGGTCTCAAAGGCAGCACTGACGTTTTCTTGCTCCTGCGCCGTCTCTGGCATCCTGATAACATCAGCATGCATATCGGCCAGTAAAGATGTCACTTCGGCAATATACTTCAGTGCTGTCATGGTACTAACGCCAAAGAGCATGGCGACCTTCCTCAAGCTCATCACACTCCCCAGGTACCAGAGGGTAAGCAGTATCTGAAATGAGGAAAACAAAGACATCGTCATAAGTTATGACGATATCATAACACATAGGCGAGGGAACAGGGAGGAGGGGGCGGTGGCCATAGCCCCCACTTTCGGAGGTGGGGGGAGCAGCAATGTTAACCCTCGCCGGCACAGGCCATTTTGAGTCCTTCGACGGCACAAGGGGGGGGGGGCTGGTACGACCCCCCCTCGCGTTTGGCCCCTGATCGAGCTAGAGCTTCGCGGAAAAAAAACGAGCGTGTTGCCCGTCACGAGAGGAAGCCGATGATACCCAATTTTAAGGTCCTAGGTCATCGGGTGACCTTCCAGGTCAGGTCAATGACCCGAAAACCGGGAAAATCGGGACCTGTTAGAAAGTCGTAAAGTGTGGCTGCTATGTGGTTTTCCGGGGTGCTGATCACGAATATCGTGTTAGTTTTGATTATAGATGATGTCTTTAAGCATTTAGATCAGGTCGGGTCAGGTCAGGTCAGGTCAACCGGTAGGGGTTGTGACGGGTATGCGTAATACGTGTCAACCGCCTCGGACAGCTTCGTAACATGTTACGAAGGCACCAAAACTACTTCGTAAATGTTCAAATGGTTGCTAAATTCGAATTCAGCTCCAAAAACTAGCCTAGAAACATGTAAAACTCGAAAAAGTGAACCGAGGTCACCCGAGGTCACCAAAGGTCAATGACCTGACCTGACCTTCAGGTGACCTTGACACCCACCCTAATGCATGGGAGCAACATCAAATCACATGTTTGAACGTTTGAAACCACGAAAAGCTTGCAAACGCGCGGCTAATGCGAGCCGACATGCGCCGAACCGCGATTTCGGCCAAACATGGTCACAGAAAATAGGTCACAGGTCAAAGGTCATTGGGTTCAGGGTCATGAAATTTTTAGGGTAGGTGTAAAATTGATCAATGCGAGGGTACTGAAAGTTTCGTCGCGATCGGCCGCTTTTTACGCGAGTTATTCGCGAAAAACCTTAGGGGGGGGGTTGCATCAACCCCCCCCCCCTGTGCCGGCGAGGGTTAACCTGCGCCCCGCTGGAGCTCCTTGACTTCCACTTCCACGCCCTGCTGGGGGGGGGGGGGAGGAGTTGAACACAACTCTGCTACTGGACTTCTTAGCGATACGGGAAAGGCGACGTTCGAAAAAGCGTAAAAATAATGACGAAAGTTCTCTGGTTACTTTTTTTGGTGAGGTCAACAAAGGTCGGGTCACCGGAGGCCATCCAATATTCAACAAACCGGCACATAACTCGAAAGCTAATAGAGCTGCAGCGCCTCGGAAAACGCAATTATTTGATTCTTTCTGAGCATCTTCTCATCTTCTCTGAGCTCTAGCATGCCTCTATATACTCGTGAAAAACTGTTAGATACAATTTGTGACCTGAGATGACATCAGAAGTAAATCGGCGCTTGACAGTGTTTAAACTGACATTTGTCCAAAAGGGGTGCCTTATAATTTCCTCCCATTGACTTGTATGAAATGGGGAGGCCCCAAAATTGACCTGACCCTAGGTCACCGATATCGGAATTCCGAAATATGCATTTTGTACATACTGTTGCTCTTATCGCTCGCTGAAAACTTCCAAGCGATCGGTTACTCGGCATAGCTATGGCAGATCTTCTCGTGCAAGAAATAAGGAAATCAGTTCACAACTTTTCTAGTAATGACGGTGGAAAGTCAAACATCCTGCCGCCGCCGGCGTTACGCGCCGCCTGAATTGTAGACTGTGCCGGGGCGGGACGGTTCCGTCTTTACATCGCGCTCCTTACCGCTGATTGTGTTCGATTCGCGTTAAATTTTGTGAGAAGACTAAGAAATGTACAGGCAATCTTATGGTCAAATAATTTTACAAATCGGTCGGTAAGCATTTGAAGCATGACTGTATGAGCGTGTTAACACAAAATTGTGATTGCCGCGTTTTCCGCGTCGGCCAATTCCGCCTCAGGCGGCGACATCTTACTCTTAGCGGGCTCCTAACTACCACATTTATAGTTGGATTAATTAGAAATTCACCATAAATGCTCAATAATGTATGCTTTTTTCGTATAGTGAAAGAAAAAGGAAAATCGGCCGTTAACTTTTTGAGCTAACGGCGTGTAAACGCAAAAAAAGTGGCTCATATGGCAGATTTGACCACATTTGACCTCATTTGACCTTGACGTTATTGACCTAGGGTCATTAAATTTACATACAACAGAGTTCCCCAGGACCATCCATCTACCCTCCAAATTGTGTCTTTCTAGCTTCAGTGGGAGCTGAGACCTTATGGGGGGGGGGCGTTATTCGCCCCTCCCCTCTTCCACTGAGCGTAGTACTCGCAACCCTTCCACTGCGCGTGTTAACTTTTAAACTTCCCCCTCACACTTTTTGCTGAACTTTCGCTCGTCTAAGGGTTTTGGGTTGGGGGAAGGTGTTTGGGCCTCAAGCTCGTACGGCGGTGCCCATGGGTGTCTGCCCCTCCCCTCCCGACTAGAGATGCCACTTTTGAGCCCGTGAACCCGCTTTCTGCGGGTTTTCAAAACCCGCAGGGTTTTTGGCGGGTTCGAGAAGCAAAACTTGTCGTGTGACGGGTATTTGGCGGTCAGACTTAAGAACCTTTAATTTTTTTTTATTTTTTTTTTTTAGATGCAAAACACAATGCCAAGTGCATTTGCTCAGGTTAACAATACAGTATTGATCAGAACAACTTTTAAAACAGAACCAAATATGAAAATATATCATGGAAGCACATTTCAAATGCAAAACTGAAAACAACCAGCAATAGCATCCACAGTCAGAGGCGGATCCAGCTCAGAGGTTTGGGGGGGGGGGGCAAACCATAAAAATTTATCGATTCTTTCCATGCATCGTCCATAGGCGTAATGTTAAAATCATGCCGTTTGGGGGGGGCAAATGCCCATTTTGCCCCCCCCCCCCTGGATCCGCCACTGTCCACAGTCTAGCAATGACCAAACCACGGTACAAGCAACAAACTAAAAAGCATAAATAAATGCTGATGAAAGCATTCCATAAAACATAAAAGAACCTGAAAGCAAACTTATAGGAAGCTGAACTGAAGTCCATGTGCAGTGTGCACTAGATATTGATATACATTATGGAAGAACCCAGACTCAAATGAGATGTTGAAAATCAGAGCAAATGCCACATGTTACTTTATTTGCGTCTGGTCGGCATAAAAAAGAGCTATCAGCTAAACAAAATTTGATGCAAATTTATTGATTACCTATCCTACTCTATGTTCTGTCCCACCCTATATTACGAAAATAGCACACCAATTACCCTCACTGTTACAAAAAATCAAAATATTGACTGGCATGCGGCCCAAACATAACGCAATACAATACTGCCGCACTTCCGACATTCTGACAAGGATTGGCATTTGACTGCGTCAATTTTGGTCTCTGAGGCAAAGGAAAGCTGTCATTGATGACGCAATAATAATTTTACAATCAATTTTTCTGTCTTGGTTTTTGAATGCCTCAAAATAGCAGTTATACATGTTACAAAACCACGTAGCTGGTCGCATTTATTTCTTTTGTCTTTTTACGTCCTTATTATTTGTATGCCGAGAGAGGACCAGGCGGAGAGCATTACCAAGACCATCTATAAAATTATTACATTTAATTTAGTATTTACTGTCTCTTTATTTCTTAACCGGTGATTAACCTCTAAATTGTAAAACTTTAGCTGTTGTGTAAAATAATTTCATCAGAATGGCACATGAATATGCATTATACAACGGTGTTTTCGCAAGAAGTTCGCACAAACTACGGCTGCAATAATTTAGTCGCTGTAACATTCTTTGCAATCAGCTGTTGGTGACGCTTCTGACGCATGTTTTCAGAAATGCGTGGTTCATTTCATTGGTGGTTAGTTGGTTTTTGCTGGGATTTTGCATGATTTGTTTTATGTGTAGATCGACTGGATGCTCATTATTCACCGTGTCACTATTTATTTTTAACTGGAAATCGCATATCTTTTATATCAACACTCATTTTGATAGCAATATCGTTCCAGAAGCCTAACATTGAGAGGGAGCCAGAGTGAAATTTTGATCCTCAACCAATGCTGAAGGGTAAGGTGAGAGAAAGATTTTACTGAACTCTTTTCAGAAAGGAATTTCAAATGTATTGATGCATTATTCATTTTCCACTATCCAGTGTGCACTTCCTGAGGACTTAGCATAGCAATTTCAAGTCCTTACTATTTGATTGGCTGTCTTTTTCTGCACAGCAATGAAGCAAGTAAGGTTTATATAGCTCTAGCATTGACCCAGCTGTATTTTTTTCTTGCAAAAGCAGGTTTTGGAAATTGCGGGTTTTTGCGGGTTCGGCTCAGCCAAAATCAGCTTGCGGGTAGTTGTGGTTGGGCAAGGGGTAGCTGCGGGGCGGGGCGGGTAATGAAATTGCAAATTTGTGGCATCTCTACTCCCGACCCCACCACACGATCGCACTTTCAAAAACGTCATCCTACGTTTATGTCACTTTACTAGTACCACTGCTAGCGTCTAATTCGTTATTTATGGCTTCTGCTGACGGCTCGGCATCTCTGCACTTGCTTTCTCCTAGCAGCACAGCCCGTCAGCCCATGCTGCCGTCAGCGGAGAGGTGACGTCATGCTGCATGTGCAAAATGACATCACCAATTATTCAGCCAATAGGGTGAGTGATTCTCGGCTGACAACAGCACAGCAGCTGAATGTGTACAGGCCTAAATGGTGATTGGCGCCATAAATGAAAACATTCTGGCCTGTGGTGGCAGCGTTTGTTATTTGACCCCTTTACAAACTTCAGTTGGTTTTTTACCTTAAAAATACGTTTTACCGCCAATACGTTCATGATCATACTAGCCAGACGTGCTAAGTATATTTTTAATCCAAACATAATTTATGTTACAGCGACTTATCGGTTCGCCTTTTCAACTCAATATCACTTTAAGATCATTTACCTTTACCTGCTTCTCTCTTGGAGGAGGGGGTTTCCCAGCACCAAAAGGATGTTGTTGGCGTCCCAGCATGTTTGATATTTGGGCAACAGTCGCCCTTGATAGGCGGAATTGCTCCCTGTATTGCTGCTCTGTAAGGTTTGGAACTGTTTCTTCAAAGAAGTCATTGTTGCGTTCAAGCAGAATGGCTGGCCGTTGTCTAAAAGAAAAGGAGGCAGTTGTAAGATATCAAATTGATTCAATGTTATTTTGAACGTAGAAAATGTCAAAAACGTAAACGTGGTATTGTTTTTATGGAATATGGAAAAAATAAACGAACCGATATAGGTATTAACGACTGAATAAATAGGAAATCAAATGCCTAAAGGAAATTGACGCATAGACTGAACGCACCATTTTCTTTCAATAGCCAGTTTAGGTCTTGTCAGCAAATTACTTTCTGTCAAAGTGGTCTTTATTCAGAGAAAAATTTTAATATGAATCACGTGCTATCTAGCATCTGCCAATTATGTGGACACGGAACAGTGACAGTCATGAATAACTATGATGCTTTCGCTAAATATCAGCGCCATAATCAAGAAGCATGACAATTGATTCCCACTTTAGGCAACTCTCTCAACATGCAACAAATTAAACTTACCCTGCATGTGCTTCGAGCATCAATAATTCCTCTTCATCGTTATCTTCAACAAACACCGGCTCAATTTCTCTCTCCAGTTCCGCTCGAAGGTATTTGTTCCAAATAAACTCCTAATCCTCAGCAAGAGTCTATTTTGCCATGTGCGACCATCTTCCATCGAACAACGTACAACAATAATCCTGCGTAAGACCAAAAACCGAAAAGACCACGCCGAACACAAACTGACGCATTTCATACGAAATGCGACGCAATCAAGCGAAACCCAGCTAAAGCACTGCTACTTTTCGACAGTAACAGACAACTAAATAAAAATCCATAACATCCTCCCCGCCTTTGGATGTAACACCATCCAAACAAACATACAACGCTGCTCTAACTGGTGTGACCTACCAGGCAGAGGGAGGAACACAGGAGCATTTCCATGGCAAACTCGTGACCAGGCGGCAAGACAGGTAGTGTCAGGTGGGTACATTCACGGGTCATATACCTCCATATCATGCAATCGCTGGACGGCTCGGGTCTTCACTTGTCCCCCCTGAGTCCTGATCTGGGCCGACCTAGCCAGACCGTCCCTGCCCGGAAACAGTTTAGTTACCACCCCGATCATCCACTTCATACGGGGAAGGTTGTCCTCTCTAATCAGTACTACTGAACCCTGCCGTAACTCACCGTGCTCTCTGAACCTACGGACCGACTGAGGGAGGGTCCGCAGGTATTCAGTCTGCCAAACAGACCAAAAGCGGTTCAGCCGTCTCTCCCTCACACGCGCTCTGTCACAAAGCATCTTGGCGTTCACTGCCTCCGGATCCTCGAGCACTCTCGACTGAAAGCCTGTGCCGCGTCCCGTCAAAAAATGGGAGGGCGTCAGCGGACTGTCACCCTCCAATGAGTCGGTCACCGGAGTGAGCGGTCGGGAATTGATGCAGGCCTCAACCTCAAGGAGCACCGTCTCCAGCTCGGTGCGAGAGAGACACCTGGAGCCGCACGACTTCCGCAGACCCACCTTCACCGTGCGAACCAGTCGCTCCCACCAGCCGCCCCACCACGGTGAGCGCGGCACAATGAATTTCCACTTGGGAGCGAGGTGTCCAAAGTAGCGCGTCAGCATCGCGTCGGCTCCACAAAACGTCCGCGCGTTATCGGAGTAAATAACGGACGGGAGTCCCCTTCGGGCCGCAAACCGCCTGAGAGCCATCAAGAACTCTGCTTGGCACAAAGATGCTGTGAGCTCAAGATGAACCGCGCGCGTCACAGCGCAGGTAAAGAGGCACACATAAAACTTGCGACGCGGAAAATCTACAGCGAAAATGGGCCCCGCAAAGTCCACCCCTGTGACGGCGAACGGTGGCGCTCGGGTCACTCTGTCACGCGGCAGCGGCGCCGCCGGTTTGTTGCAGGCTAGAGCATCCTGCCGCTTACAACTAACACAGAAGCGCTTGACTCGCTTAGCGAGGCAGCGCAGACCCACTATCCAGTACGCTGCTCGGACAGCGGAGATGAGCGTAGATACACCGCAGTGATTCATCAGGCGGTGCTGGTCCCGAACCAGCAGCTCGGCGACCCATCCCTTGGGAAGCAGAATCGGATGCCGCTCATCATAGGACAAGTCGGACTGCTGCAGCCGGCCTCTGATCCGCAGAAGTCCATCACCATCGAGGAATGGAGTCAGCGAGTGCACGCTCGAGCTCCTCGCAACCTCTTTGCCTTGCTGCAGCGCTTTCAGCTCAGCAGCGAACGCCAGCCGCTGCTCCTCCCGTAGCAGCACCAGCCGGGCAGACACGACCTCATCAGAGGACAGGTCGGGAAGGGCGCACTTCTGACGCGCGTTTCGCGCGTTGTTACAAAATCTGCGCACCCAGCCCACGACTCTGACCGCCTTCGATAAAGACGACCAGCGGGTCGTGCAGAACACAGGCTGCTCACCTGTACCAGCCACCAGACAGCTGCCGCCAACGGCCTCCGCTGTCTCTGATCTGACCTCCACTGGGACACTAGTCACCTGACCAGACTCAGTCGGCTCATCACAAGCCTCGCCACTGTCGGGCCGAGCCCGAGGAGAGGCCAACCAGCTCGGGCCGCTCCACCACTGCTCGGATTCAAGCAGTTCCGCAGCCGACACCCCTCGAGTCGTCAAGTCAGCAGGGTTCTCATCCCCCGGACAGTGGCCCCAGTCGGACGGAGTCGTCAGACTCTGAATGGAACGCACTCTGTTGGCCACAAACTGCTTCCAGCGCTGTGGATCTCCCCTTATCCAGCCCAGCGCAATCATCGAGTCCGACCAGCACCTGATTACCGTGTCCTCGGGAAGTCTCAGTGCCTGGCGCACGAGAGCGACGAGGCGAGCTGCCAGTAGGCTGCCCAGCAGCTCGAGTCGCGGCACCGTCACTCGCTTCAACGGCGCGAGCCGCGCCTTTGCCAGCACCAGTCTGACCTCGCCGGAACCATCAGGCCTGGCTGTACGGAGGTACACAACCGCTCCGTACCCTCTGGGAGAAGCGTCACCGAAGGCGTGTAGGGACACACCCTCACCGTGTCGCCAGCCGGAAGTCGAGTAGCAGCGCGGTATCCGCAGCTGCTTCAGCGAGTCAACACCTCTCAGCCAATCTGAAAAGATTTGACTACGGTCCGCCGGGATGACCTGATCCCAGGCGAGCCCCAGTTGCCAAAGCTCTTGGAACAGACTCTTGGCCACCATCACAAACGGAGCCACGAACCCCAGCGGGTCGAAAAGCCGGGCAATACAACTGAGCACCACACGTTTGGTCGGCGTTACATCAGCGGAGACGGTGAGGCCCTCGTACGAGAACACGTCCTCACCGCTGCGCCACATGACTCCCAGAACCTTGGAGCTCTCACGCTCGCCAGAGCCGTTAGCGGCGTGAGTCTTGTCAAATACAACTGCGCTGTTGGAGACACACTTTGTCAAAGTCATTCCCGCTCCAGCCATCACGTCCTGAGCCTGACTAAGCAGCGAGCTAGCCTCCTCCTCGGAATCGGCCCCAGACAGCAGATCGTCGACGTAAAAGTTCTCGGCCATCTCACGTACAGCCCTGGACGGAGCGCTCTTGGACAGGTGATGCCGGATAGTAGCGTTTAGCAGGAACGGGCTGCTCCTCACGCCGAACGTTACCCTGCGAAAGCGCATCACACGTGTTCTTCCCTCGTGGACCCACAGAAACCTGTGGACGTCCCTGTCTTCCACTTTGAGACTTAGCTGGAGGAAAGCCCTAGAGATGTCTGCAGTCACTGCGACCTGCCAGCGTCTGAATCTCAGCAGCACATCCACTAACGACGGAATGAGACAAGGCCCCACCTCCAGACACTCATTGAGGGAGACGCCATTGGGACCGGCAGCGGAAGCATCAAAAACCGGCCTCACCCTTGTCGACTCGCTAGACTCTTTAACGACAGGGCGATGTGGCAGATAGAACGTCGGGCGCGAGACGTCCAGCTGGTGACTGGGCACCTCCTCAATGACGCCCGCGCTCTCCATTTCCTGCAGCGCCTCAGAATATGCTGCCCCAAGCTCCGGATCCCTCGCCAAGCGGCGCGACAGACCCTGCAGACGCGCCTCGGCGGCGGGTCGGTTGTCCATCAGGTGCTCGGCGGCACCTGCCTTCCACGGCAGGGCGACCTGATACCTGCCATCAGCCTTCACCACCGAGGAGCTGAACTCCTTCAAAACCTGGTCCTGCTCTGCATCATCCGAGTCACAGACGCCGATGCCCTCGAGAGACCACAGCCGGCGAAGAGAGTGCTCGTGAATGTCTCCGAGACATAGCAGCTGACTGGTGACGCCACCAGACGACTTCCCACTTACCTTGCCTGAGATGACCCACCCCAGGGAGGTTTCCTGAGCCACGGGTCCCCCGCTCAGCCTGATCTCACCTTGTCGGATGAAGTCCCAGTAGCTGTCCAGCCCTACCAGCAGGTCCACAGACAGCTGCCTGTCGGACGGAGGATCAGCCAACTCCAGATGGCTGAAGGACAGGAGGACATCAGGGGGCAAGAGCGGGCGCTGCAGAGGCAGGCAGATGACTGGAACTCTGATAGCCTGGACAGAGTGGACAGATGGAGAGGTCACATTAGAGCCAATCATGTTCACATGGTACACGTCCCTGTGCTTAGAGGATGAGCCGGTCCCTCCAAAAGCAGCATAGGACACAGCCTCCGAGCCTACCCACACAGGTTCAGCTGCCTTTACGAGCTTATCACTAATGTAAGTTCTGTCACTGCCTGAATCAAAAAGCACTGTGGCTTGGACACGCCTTCCATCCTGACCTAGCACAGTTACTTGGGCAGTAGGCAGCACAGTACAGCTCCTCTCATGTCCACCACTCTGACAAGCCAGTGATGGGCGCTGCACTGGGTTAGAGTCACCGCTGCGGAGCATACTGTCGCTGCCACCTGCAGCACCATCATGCTCACGCTGCACACCCCCTCCATGAATCCTGAAGCAGCACACCACATTATGTCGCCCACCACACTCAGCACACACTGTACTACATCTACGGGCGACGTGACCCGCACGCAGGCAGCGGAAGCAAAGTCCTGCCTGCCTGATCATGTCTCTGCGGTCTGGTACTGTCAGGGGCTGCAGCTTCACACATACCTCAGGGTGATGGGCCTGTCCACAGAAAGCACATACAGGCCTTGCACCTGTCTGCAGAGCTGCAGCTGCTGGCATCCTCTCTCGCTGTTCCCTCTTCCTCCTATGCTGAGGACCGCTTGTGGCCTTTGTTCGACTTTCACCAGATGCAGTTGTCTGTTGAGCTGAAGCCACCTGGAGCTTGCTGAATGCGGAGGATCGCTCCCTGCGGCTGATCTCCTTCGACAAGAAGCTCAGCAGCCAGTCCAGGTCTGCTTCCCTGCCTGAGCCCTCACGGGCCCACTCAAGACGAATGTCAGGGGTCAGCTTGGAAAGGATCATAGGAACAAGAATAATGCCATACCTGTCACCGTCGACGTCCAACGATGCCAGGCTTCGGATGTGGACAAGGAGGCGATCTTGCAGCTCTCGGAGGGATTGGACTTCAGAGGACGAGGCATCTGGAACAGAGAGGAGTTCTTGAATGTGGGAGAAAATCACCATCTCCGTCCTTCCAAAACGCGCCTTCAGCAACTCACAGGCACTTTTGTAGTTGGTCCCAGTCAGTGGCAGACCAGCAACACTCTCTTTGGCCTCACCAATCAGGAATGACCTGAGATAGGCAAACTTAGACACATCAGGCAAGTCAGAGCAATGCACTGCAGCTTCGAAAGATTCCCAAAAAGACTGCCACTGGAGAACATTTCCATCAAACTTGGGCAATTCTAATTTAGGGAGCTGCAGGTGACCTGATGAGCCCACAGAGCTTGGTGCCTTTACATTCAGGGCAGCATTGGCTTTGCAAAGCACTTCAGAAATTCCCTCTCTTAGTACAGCAGCGCTCTCAATGTCAGACATCATCTCTGCCTCAGAGGGAAAACTCAGTTCAACTTCTGACTGGACTTTATCTAAAATATTCAGTCTTTTCTCACAGTCAGCCTTTGCAGCCTGAACGGCTTCAATGTTCAAGTCCTTGCACTCTAAAAGCTCTTCCAGCTTACGGCGGCAGCGACTTACCCATCCTCGCGCTGCCGCCCTCTTCAGTCGGTGACACACCAGGGAAATAAGCTAAAATTAGAGCGCTCTATTTATTGCTCCCGCTACTTCACCGTCTCCCATAGGGTCCTGTGTTGAGCTGGTGTCGAGGCTCTAAAAATGACGCCGATTTTTGCACCCTTCTCACGAAAACCGCTCGGACCGCCTGGAAACTAATTGTTCCGCTCTGAAAATTTCATGATCGACGGGAAAATGAATGAGGAAAAGATTGGTCCTGAAATAATTCTGAACTCCCTGTAGAACATATCGAAATATGGCTGCAAACTAGGAGCATGTCAAAATCGACAAAACGATACAAATAAACTTACCGGGATTTTTTTATTTTCCATGCATCTGTGTATGAAATCAGTCGGTTTTTCGGAAAGATAATCTTCTGTTTAATAAATAATTCCACAATTGCAATCGAGAAAAAAAAAACATTTCTGCTGTGACAGCAGTTTTGGCATTGTGCCAGTAGTGTGGCGTGCGGTGCTGCGTGGTCGTCGGGACGGAGTTGTGAGTATTTTCGGTGTTTTAAATGGTTGATGGCCATTTGAACCAGCTTTATATTATTTCCTACAAATTTTTGCATCAAATTATTGCTTTGAAAGACCATTGAAACCCCTTATCTCTTCATGAAACACGATCATATTTATCGTCGACGAAAATGGCGCGGGACCCCATGTGCGTTCCGATCGAAATAAATCGTAAATTAAATAATATTCGATGATAAGTATCATATTCTAGTGACACATTTTCATAAAATAAGGCGTAAACTTTGCAAGGAAGTCAACATTGGATAATTGAATTCTTATTTTTCTCACATATCCTTGTGTAGTCAAATGGCTCAATTGTTAGATAAATGTAAGCATATGTTTTGGCTTGATGTTTGCTGTGAAACCACCCAGCCACTTGCTGGTTGAGTGGTTTTTGATAATAACCTGATAATCATTTCTCCTTTTCCTTAAAAGAAACTAAAATTCTTTTCAAAGTACCTAATCCATTTTTAGGAATGGCGGCTTGCTCATTGACATTTCATGTTCTTGTTTTGTTATTGCTGGCAGTATTTTGATACAATAATGCAATATGAATTTTTTGCAATAATAAAACCTAAGACAAACCTAGTTAATGCGTCAATCAAACACCCAACAGAAAGATTGTGAGTCCTTGTGACGTGAAGTAGAACATTCTATGAATGTGTTATATAGAATATGCCAAATTTTAAATTAATTATACTGATAGCTGAGCATGTGAATTATGCCACAATATAATTTCATTTTCTGGTTTTGAAATAGCGGGCAGTATTTTACTTCAACAAATGTAATATACATGGAATACATGTTGTTATGTTATGTTAAAAGTTTAATAACAGCAAACAGAAGGGGCTGTTTCAGCAGACAATGTTTGTACCTTATGCATTACCTTTCTTTTCTGCAGGACCATGCTTCCGCTGGGTGGTCGACATTTGCCTCCTGAAGAAAATGAGCAACATGAAGACCACCAGATGAGGTGTCTGCAGTTCATGTGGAACTCTGCAGACTACAAGTGTTATGCCAACCACAACCAAAGTGCTGTGATCATGGAGGCATGAACCTCATGACAACACTTCAGATTTGCAGTTGTACCAAAGTGTGATTCAAACCACCTGTGGCATCTCACTCAATGTGTGAACAGTGTGATCATTGTGCAGTGTTCAGCTGCAACTAAGACATTTATTAGTGACTTGTTTTGCAATTAGCCACCAAAAGCATTTTTGGGCTGGCTGCTGTAATTTGTTGTGCACTGCGCAATAGTGGTAGTGTTTTGTCACTTGTCAAGTTGTCAGTTGTGCATGTTGCATGTTTCTCTTCCCTCGGCCCTCATTATCAGTTAAGTGGTGAATTGGCATCACTCAGTCTCCCCAGATCTCCATTGACTGTCTGTCAACCACCTAACTTGAGATGGTATTTGCTAATAGTTTCAGAAAAGAAGTGATTGTAGACATTTTTAGGAATATGAGCTCCGTTTCATGCGTGTTGCGGTGGCCATTTTGTCACTTGTCCCATAGTGTAATAAATGGAAACTGTTGTTCCCTTTTCAAGGTACTCGCGGATGCAGAAAGCGTTGGGCCTAATTATTAAACGCACCCTTCTATCAGCGACGCACGAAATCGACAAATATCATCCTTTTTAGAGCAGGAGGAAACGAAAACTTGTGAACATAGCTGTACCTACAACAGTGCATAAGGAATTGGAATTCTGGGAGTTTTTGAAATTCGGAGAAACTCAAGTTGTCGACAGGTATGCCCCCTTGTACGTCAAAGACCGCCTAAAAACAAGCGTCTACAAATGAAGGCAGTATTCGTATGTTCGTTGTAATTGCAGCAGCCTAGCAACATGCATTGCGGTCCGATGGCGAATTACACTCGTGCTAAAAAAAAACTATGCCGGTAACTGCCAACGTACTTAGGTCGTAGGTGAGGAGAGGAAGGGTTATGTCAAATGTCAACATCAAAGAAATGGCTTCATCTGAGCTGTGCCTATTGTACATAATTCAACCAATCTATGCATTTCGTTTCTTGCTAGCTACTCATGCTTTCACTCCTGCTTCAGAGTAATCATTCCATATTGTACGTCTTAAGATATTGATTTCTATGGCAGTTCGCAATTGCTAGCCACGTCTCACCTCAGTTTGGTGGCCCCGCATCGGCCCACTTGGCCGCTCTAAAATTGACTTACGGAGGAGGATGGTGGCTTTTATTTTAGCTTCTCCGCTGACTGCGGGGAGCGCCGTCGCCGAGGTAGGAGCAATAATTAGCTTAAGTTTGGGACTAATTTCCACGCTTAATTAACATTTTAATGTTATTTTAATTAATTCATGTTAATCTTTGACGCATTCTCTTTCTATTGATACCATCCACCGGCCTGAGAAGTACTGCCTTGCTGCGTAAGGGCCGATAAAAGATCACGCTTTTAGGGGTATCTCTTCAACATGGGGCAGGAGCAATAAATAGAGCACTCTAATTTTAGCTTATTTCCCTGGTATGTCACCAACTGTCTTCCTTAGTAGCTCTGCACTCATTATCGGAAATGGAACCACTCCAGTCTAATCACAACAATAAATCAAAAGGTTCCTGGTCCCGGGTCGATGGCACCAAAATTGTTCCAAATAAACTCCTAATCCTCAGCAAGAGTCTATTTTGCCATGTGCGACCATCTTCCATCGAACAACGTACAACAATAATCCTGCGGAAGACCAAAAACCGAAAAGACCACGCCGAACACAAACTGACGCATTTCATACGAAATGCGACGCAATCAAGCGAAACCCAGCTAAAGCACTGCTACTTTTCGACAGTAACAGACAACTAAATAAAAATCCATAACAGTATTCATGCAAGTCCATATTGACACACTAGTTTTTAAATCTTTACTTTTCTTTCAGTTTTCCATTCAGAGGACTTCCTCATACTGAAGGCAAGGCGCTGAAGGTTTTGGATTGTAGACGAAATATTTGTTTACACGCGTCACATTTGTAGACCGTCAGCCACCGCTGACAAAAGTTCGTCAGCCGAATGTATACAGTTCCGTCAGCCAGAAGCGGTGGGCGGAGCCTATTTCGGCTGACAACAGCACAGCAGCTGAATGTGTACAGGCCTTGAATGTCACCATCGTGTTCTACGCTCTAAATTACCCATAAAACATGTGTCACAGGCTGCGAATATCAGTTTTGATTTTCGGGGATATGTGCCTACCCGGTTGACCTGACCTTGACCCTGACCTATGCTTGACTGACCCCTACATGGAGCTGACACTCTTGTAGGCCTTATATGATGGATTGTGTACCGTTTTGACAGAGTTTATGACGAGAGGCGCCCATTGCGAAGTCCTGAAGTCCATGCTACTGAAAGCCCGATTTTGGGTGTTTGACCTGACCTTGACCCGACCTGTGACCTCAAAATTCAACTTTAAAGTACTCATCTGAAGCGTCTCGTCGCGTTCTTTCGTTTGCCGCCTCGTGCGTTTCGCTGCGCCTATTGGTTCTCGAGTTATCGGCTGGGGGCGTTAAACGCCCCCCCCCCCCCCCAGCAAACGGTGGGTGGCGAAATACCCCAGCAACTGCCGGGTTTACTTATCGCATCACACTGGGGTTTTTGCTCATTGTCTATCATGATGCCTGTTAAATGGCTGTATTTCCTACAGGTCACTTAGTGTGTTTTCGTTTTTTTTTCCTGTATTTAGCTTCACATTCCACCAAAGTGCTTATCACTCTGTCTATTGATTCATTATTGTCATCTTTACACGACAATTATAGGCTCCTCAGTAGGCATAATTCTGTACAGACGTGACGTGCGCATAATCAAATAATGCCCATAGCCTGTCCGGTTCATCACTAATGATGTGGCGTGCTCCTTTGTGCCGTTCTATTGTTGACTTTGTTACACAGACACCCTCGCGACACGTGATCCCCGGGAAATGCGTAGTTCTTTTGGCTTGTGATGGTGCCCTCATTGTCCACATATTGAGTTATCAGGTCTCCATGTGAACGATTCCTATCCGGAAGTGATGGTTCGAGGTGTTTTCGATGCGATTCCAACATATTTAAGGGTTCCTTTGATAAGTTAGTCAATTATCTTTTTTCATACTATGCCATTCCTTATGCATTTCATCATTCATTCACTGATGGAAATAGTCCCCATCAGCAGCAGCACCTAAAAGGGTGCTGAAAAAAGGTAAATAGTTCAGTTAAAAGGGTAAATAGTTCACTTCCCTGAAATTAGTTTTTACAATGGATTTATGATTTTCTTGCTCAAAATGATCAGAAACTAAAATAAAACTTTTTATAGAAAGGATTTTTTTCTATATTCTAATAAAGGAAGAACTATTCTCTATATAAAATACTGTTTAGTGATTGGCATGGAAGCTTTTTACGCGTTGACCAATCATATTGCGCAGTTCAAACCTACCCATGCTGCGTTGGCTGTAAGCAGTATGCTAATTGGCTGACGATGACGTGGCTGCATTCCTCTACAAGGGAAACATTTCTCTACAGGGGAATTGTTCAGAACGTGAAATGGAATATCTTTGTCTAGTGTGATCGCTGGGATGTAAAAGCTCTTGATTTGTGCTAGCCTCAACTCAAGCTTCGAAACTGCTTAAAATTAAAATATGATTTAAAGTCCTTAATCTCCTTCGAGCCTCTCTTTTTTTCCTCCAAATCACTCATTCTCGGTTTTTCGATCACGAGAATTCGCGCGCGATAAAAATGCTGCGCTTATCCTCACAAACAAAATAATACAATGTTTGGCACCACAGGCACACAACACTGCTATCTCAGCTCAAAACCTCATGTTAAAAGTGATATATTTCGAGTTTCGAATAAAATTTACTGGGGATGTTTTCGTGATTCGAATTAAATGTAAGTAGGAATTTCTGACAATCCATTTGAATATTTTCCCTTTATCCTCTTGTCGCTGTCTTTATTTCATTTTATTTTTCCCTGCGAATGAAAGGACATCGACTGATCGGTAAGTTACTTCACTTCAACCTACTTTTCTCGCGCAAAATGATCACAGCTTATTTTCTTTTATTTGGCTTGGATCATGCCCTTTTTGTTGCAAAGGAGAGGGGATACACATCCCTTTTTTGCACATTTTTCGTCGATGGTTATGGTTTACGAAGTAAGGAAAATATGAGGAAAAAATATAAATAGGATGAAGCTGAAATATGAAAAATGAAAAATCGTAGGTAATTAATGCTGAATTGGGGACAATAGTCAATGGTGATTGGTATCCCAAAAAACAATTAATTGCTTGCAGACCTGACTCCCTTCTCCTTCTTGCCTGCCTTCAAGGCTTATCTCGCCATTTTAGAGGTCACCCTGTCTCGATCCGTCCAGTCAGACCACACTGCCTGTGACCCTGTCCGCCAGTGTGGTCCACGTGCTAAACGACCACACTCGCCGCGCACAATACAAGCCACATTCAGCACACACCGCAGACCACTCGGCCCGTTCTGTGCAATATACAGACCACACTCAGCCCGTCCTACATACCACAATCGGCCCGTCCTCCAGACCACACTCGGTCCGTCCTACAAACCACACTCGGCTCGTCCCACAGACCACACTCGGTCCGTCCTCCAGACCACACTCGGTCGGCCCGTCCCACAGACCACACTCGGTCCGTCCTCCAGACCACACTCGGTCGGCCCGTCCCACAGACCACACTCGGTCGGCCCGTCCCACAGACCACACTCGGTCGGCCCGTCCTACAGACCACACTCGGCCCGTCCTACAGACCACACTCGGCCCGTCCTACAGACCACACTCGGTCCGTCCTTTAGACCACACTCGGCCCGTCCTACAGACCACACTCGGCCCGTCCTCCAGGCCACACTCGGCCCGTCCTACAGACCACACTCGGCCCGTCCTACAGACCACACTCGGTCCGTCCTTTAGACCACACTCGGCCCGTCCTACAGGCCACACTCGGCCCGTCCTTAAGACCACACTCGGCCCGTCCTACAGGCCACACTCGGCGCGCACGTCGCCGGGCACCACGTCTGCGGTGAGCTGGACGAAGGTGTCCCACGGGCAGCTGAGCTGGCAGCCGGGCAGCTGCAGCGGGTACGGCTCGGCGGTGGTGTCGTTCCGGTAGAACAGCTGCACGGTGGGACCGACCTCGGGCTCCTCGTGCAGCTCCACCAGCACGGCGCAGGCCAGCGGCGGCGCCAGGCCGTTGTAGAGCTGATGGTGCGGAGGTAGAGGGGATGTCAGTGGCAATCGGAACCAGCGGCTCAGGGTGGGGGGAGCTGGCGGACGGAGGCGGACTGTGATAACGTTTGGAGCAGCCCATTGGGTAAGGCTGAAAACAACCAATTAAAGCAAAATCGTTGGAGGTGCAGAAGAAACTGCTTTACCCCCGTGTTGTAAATACTACATATCCAGTGAAGAATGATAAAAGATTTATAAAACTCAGTTAAGGAAAATCACCGTTTAAGATAAAACCTGACGAACATAAGGCACATTATGTAACCATGATGAGAGGTGCGAGGAATGAGAAATGAGAGTAAGAAACAAGAAATGAGATTCTGGCGACTGGTGAGCGGTCGGCCTTTAAAAATGTGGTGAACGCCGAATTCAGTGAGCTTTGAACAGCCTACCCCGAGTGTGGTGAGCAGACAGGCCACGTTGTTGTCGTGGCCCGAGTAGGCGAACAGCTTCCTGCTGGGCGGCTCCAGGCGGCCGTCCACGCTGTCCTGCATGTGCTCCAGCATGTCCTTGAGCAGGGGCCCGCCGCCGAGCCGGCGCAGGAGCGGCGTGACGCCGTACAGGGCGAATTGCAGGTCCCGCAGCGGCCGCAGCAGGTCCGGGAAGGCCGGCGCCGCGCAGCCCGGCGGCACGGCGTGCGCCCACTCGGGCACCGTCCGGTTGTGGCCGTCGTCGATCCACAGCGTGTCGTACAGGTCTCCGGCGGCGTCCACGCTGCTGACGTCCAACCCGCTGTACTCGGTCAGGTAGGCGTACAGCGCGCTGTTGTCGGCGTCGATCGCCGCCATCTCGTCAGAGGCGAACACCCGGTCCCGCTCCTGCAGGTACACCGGGCACGAGACCTTGTAGGTCTTCAGCTTGAGGTCGTCATCGACCGGCACGGTGTGCACGGGGATCGGCTGCCAGGCGATCTCGGCGTCCCAGACGTCCTCTCCCCGCGGCGGGAACAGGCCGGCCAGGTTGGCCTGCGCCGACATCAGACACCGGTCCACGTCCGTGGCCTCCACGCGGGTGTAGTTCATGTGGTACAGCTCCGGCAGAAAGCCGTCATAGCGGCTGCGAAGGAAGCGGCCCAGCTCGAGCTGGTTCTGCTTGCCCTCGTTGGTGAGCTGGCCCAGTCCGATCGGCCACGGGTCCGGGTTCGGGTCGGTCGGGTAGTCAATGACGGGACTGCGCGCGCCGTGTCGGTACAGCACGTGCACCAGCCGCAGGGTGTCGGGGGCGCCGGCCGGCGGCGGCAGCGGGCCGGCGGCGGCCAGCAGTGGCACCAGCGGCAATAGGAGCACGGAGGTCTGCATCGCGCGACCCGGGCAGGGCGACTGGGAGACCGCTGCGGCGCACCGCGACTTGTAGTCGACCACACTGTGGACAGAGCGATTACGCTCGTGGGCCGCCTCCAGGTGTTACATGCGCGTCAAGGGACGGAGCTCCCTAGTAACGAGGAAGTTTCGACACGAGTTCCGAAGAAATGAAGATACGCGTGTTCACACCGTATGGTATAGCCAGTCATTGTGAGTTTTTGGATTTATGGCTTGTGAGTTGCGCTTATGTAAGTTATCATTGGAGACTCCACACAGAAATGTTGCTTTGCTTTACGCCTTCCTCTTGGTGCGAAGAAGTAAGAATCTGCTAAAATGGTAGTGACTGTGGAACTATTTTTTGTTCGTATTATGTCTCAGCAACCTATTTTACCTTGTTATTGCCCATGCACGCGACCGCGCAGCGCCAGTCTCTTGTGGCCGCGGCTAATATTATACCTACTCGTGACAAATCAGATGGACGCATCACGTGCCACGAGCTGGTGTTATTCTCTGTCTTCTTCTGACGTCAGGCGGATCAATATCAATAGCCAGTCTCCCGCCGCGCGGACGGTCCTATGGTGGGGATTCGACTATTGTCGGACAGCCGTCCGCCAGTGAACGTTCACTGCATTTATCGTCACTGAATAGTGCGTCAATCATACGGTTGTCACGTGGTAGAAATCTAGTCACCGTAGTGCAACGATCGCTTGTTGAAACTTGAAGGTCAAATAACTGCTGCGCAATTATACCACAACAGGCAAAGGCTATCGTGCGACGGCCAGCGTTGGTCAAGCCACTGTTGCAAAAGCGTCACTACAGCCGGAGATCTCAAAACGACCTATAGGGAATGGGATTGTCGTACAACAATCACATCGTGGTTGTTCAACGATCGTCGTTGAGCTGTCGCATGTTAGAGATACAGCGGTTGTCGTGCATCTGTTACGGTATAGATTTATCTCGTGGCTAGTGCTTTGTTTTACTAGCGGGTAAGCAAAATTCCACCGGCTGTTTTGTAATTACCATAATGTGCAGGACAGGTCACTGTCGTACCACCGCCATGTGGTGACGATTGGTCGACGGTAGTTCGTGTAGCAGCTGCCACAGGGTGTACTGGTGAGCTTATTCCTTTAGCCATTATCTTCTCAACGGTAGGTTATGTTTGACACGATTAGTTTCAGAGACTATTCTGTAGTGCTTTGTGCAAGAAAAAATACTGCCTAGCGCTCATTTGCTCGCAGCTTTGGTGCATATTCTTTTTTTCGTACAAGTGCGTATCAAAAAGTCTGGAAAAGTTGTGACTTATTTTGAATGGGCCTGAGATAGTCATCCGCGCCGTGCTGGTGGCCTGAACTTTCCGCCGAGTGCTGGGGGGGGGGGGCGTTTTCACGCCCCCCGTCTAACTCGGCTCCTGGGTAACGTAGCGAAACGTGGTAAACGGCAATCGAAAGAGAGTCAAAAGTATAAAGGAAGATTCTTTACTTGATTCTAAACTTGCGAAGCAATTCTAAGGGACTAGGAGCGATGACATTGGTTTAGTCGCTAAGAATTACGAGCGGAACATTATTGAATGAGATTACAAAAGGAAAGGCTTCTGATAACCATATACCAAACGTTTATACATAACCGGCTGTTGCGGCATAAGAAACTAGATGCAAACATTTATGGGTGGTTTTAGAATTCAGGCCTATTGTTTCAGTTGAAGTCTTCTGGAACAAAATATGGATGGTGTTCAAGCGCGGTAACATATCATATCGGAATGTTGAACTATTACCTCGAAAAATAATGTTTGGCTCATGTAAAGATAAAGCCCAAGACTTTAATCTGTTCTTGCTCCTGGCCAAATGGTTTATCTGGAAACAAAGTAGGAACGAGAGCAAGCTTACGATGCGTTCATACCTGACTCATTTACGACAATATCAAAACGTGCAAGAATGTGTTTATAAAATCAACGGCAGAGTTGAGGAATTTAATACTCTTTGGGAGGCAACCTCAAAAATGATTAAAATCCTCTCGCAAGAATCATGCGCAACGATCGCGTCGGGGACGTGAAATGGTCGAGTTTTGTTTCCCCTGCTTAATGTTTCTGCGTGGTAACGAGGCTAGTTACAGGGACAGGCGTGTGGGATGTGCGGCGCCGGTCGTATGGGACCAGACGCCGGTCCCACACGAGACCGCCGCGCCCAGATCGTATCGTAACCCTCAAGTGCCATATCCATACTATCGTTATGTTCGTATCTGTTCTATGTGTTTAAAAAAAAGCGATATAAAAAAAATAAGAAACTAGATGCAAACATTTATGGGTGGTTTTAGAATTCAGGCCTATTGTTTCGCCAAAGTTTCTTAACCCTCGCACGACCAGGCAATTTCTCATAACACGAACGACCAGGGGGGGGGGGGGTTGTTACGACCCCCCCTGGCGTTTCAAAACGGAAGGTCGTAGAGCTTAGCGGAAAAAACCAACGGATTGCTCTCAACGAGATCTCGCGATTGGTGGTATATTTTTTGGTCCTAGGTCAACATTTGACCTACTTATGACCGGTCAAAGGTCAAATTTTCCGAAAAAATCAAACTTTTCAACTTTCCGCGGCGATTGCGGCAAAACGGTGGGAGATATCGACTTGAAACCTTCACTATCGTGTTCCTTGATCAATTCTCTATCGTTCGGTATGTATTTCGTTTCCCTAGCTCTAAAAATGGCGCGTTGGGAGCGCCGGAAGTCGGCAAGGTCACGGTCGGCGGCAGAAATTCGAAAAATCAAAATTTAAATTTTTGAAATCTGATTGTATTTTTGGATTTGGGAGGTCCATTTGCTCCCTATAGAAGCTAATATTGCTGCATATTCCCATTGAGGTGACAAGAATTAGCAAAATAGTGGTTCGGGCGCTTTTCAAAAATAGTACCGGACGCTGTTCCTCTTGTGACGTCATAGCTCCGTGACCTGACCTGACCCGGTCAATTTTCTTGCACCACACGATAGCCAATGCTTGCCCCAACATGCATGGGAAGTTTCATCATGATCCATCAAACAATGTGGGTATCACCGGCAGAAAACCTAGGGATTCGGCGCACACGTTTGGTAACTGTCGGCCGGAGGCTGTACCTCTTATGACGTCATAACTCCGTGACCTGACATGACCCGATCAATTTTTTTTTTCGGCAAAAGATGCGCAAAGGTTGCCCCAGAGGGTATTGAAAATTTCAGCCCGCTACGACAAGCCGTTTAGCGTACACTTCGAAAAAACCTCAGGGGGGGGGGGGTTGATACAACCCCCCCTAGGCGTTCTAGGGTTAAACAGTTTATGGATAGGCATGTTTCGGAGGCAAGCAAATATAAAATCATACCTCTTTGTGGTTGATAAGAGCGTGTGAGGTATCCAAGAATACTGTTTAACTCATAGTTCATTTTTTGCCTAAGCAATTTTCCCAAAAATGCCTATCACGTACTGTTCTTAACATTATATTTCGCTTTTCTTCTTTGAACATCATGGATGGCGGAAGCTTTTTGTTTTAGTATTTCTGAACTTAAGTGAATTGAGAAAATCGTCACTTCATTTTGAAGAAGTCAATTTTAGTATCTACAATGTAGAAGTCAGCTGCACCAGCCTTAGTTAAATCACATCCGTTTGGCGGCATCGTGAATCGGCCGCTCTCCTAACGGCGGCCATTTTATCACCATTAGGCCGGTGCCAAGTTTCGCTCGTTTTGTAAAGCGGTGCGCGCGAGTGACCGCCGCTGTCGGCTCCGGAGCTGGCGAAGTGAGCGAGAGGAGGGACAGCTGGCGTCGCTCCCAGGCGGTGGACGGTCGAGGTCGGGCCGCCACGGCGCCCTGTCTACAGCGGCACCACGGCGCCGCTGATGAAGACAGCGCGATACACGCCGGGTGGAAAACGATACGATAATCATAAATAAGCTGCGAGACTAGGCAACACTGAGTCCTCATTCAAAATTAAACGTGAAATGATATCGACTTCTTAGGATCTGGTTTAGTTGCTGTCGTTCACTGATCTGAGCCCAATAAAGTCATTGTGGCCAATCGACAGTGCTTGCCGGGACACCGAAGTCCGTAACTGAGGCGAAACGTGATTGTGTAATTCCACACTTCCCCGTTATCATCGGCCTTTTTTATTTTGATCCTCACATGCTTGATTTATTCGTAACTTAAATATCCGTTCTGTAGCTCAGTTGGAAGAGCGTTGGACTCCCGGCAGAGACAGCCCGGATTCGAGCCGCTTTGGCTCTCGGGGCGTTCCACGACAAATCGACAGATAAAAGATTAAATTTGCATCCTCATGTTTTATTTTTCGTTGAAAACTGGTGTAAAGGGTTGTGATGGGCGGGGAAGCCAGCTGTGGCAAGGATTTTTTCTTCGAACAACGGTTTCCGAGATATAGCCTCGGGCAATTCCAGCAGGTCGCGCTGCAGCCCTATGTTTGGCGGCCTATAACTCAGAAACTATTGGTTTTCTACGATAAAAACTTTATATGGTTCAACTCACAATCAGCCAACAAACATTTTGGCTATCTCGTATTTTCAATTTTTGAAAATTTTGATCACGTGACCTTTTGACCTATTTTTCGAAGAGTGACCTTGATATTTTCCCCACTGAAAGTTGCAATTTTGTCTGATGACGATTAAAGCCTTATCAATTGTCATTCATATGCGAAAATAAAAAAGTGGATATCGCCCTGCGTTGACCTCAGGTCAGCCATTTTTATGACCTGTCCATTATTACGAGCGGGAGCGACAGCGAGATCTCGAGAATAAAGCAAGATAGCGACAAGCGGTAAACGGTGCAGGGTATAAATGGATAAGGTCTATAATTTTTACTGAGGTCATTTTCAGGTCAGGTCAAAGATGACGTCACAGGAGCAAAAAGGAAGTCAACATTGCGGCACTACATATATATGAAGTTTTTCTAGAATAACTTTCAAGGTATCCCAGATAGGAACAAACTAATAGCACCATCGTGATCCTCTCGTCGATCCTAATCGAAATATATGTATGTTGACCTTGAAAGGTCGAAAGGCCAAAAGTTGACCTTAGGTCACGTGACGAGC